CACACACACACACACACCTCAAGAATAAAAAATTAAATTATTTAACAATATTACAAAAAGAGATTTAAAAAAACAACCTGTCACTATTATTATACCAGACTGAAAAAGAAACTTAGTAAGCTTAGATAAGTCACAAAAGCCCTTTGTAATCCAACAGGAAGTAAAGGATAATCGTTGGACATAAACAAACCCTCAACGTCTCCACAAAGCCAGACTGTCGGAGACATATTTATGATGGTAATGAGCATGAAAGAACTGGCATACACTCACCGTAGAAACCAAAACCCGCAACAGTGTTTCAAAGGGGGGGGGGGGGGGGTGAATGGAGTGTACGTCAGTTCAGTCAATAGGCGCATATCCCTAGGAGAACGGTACCCCGTGAGACAAGCCACTACTAGCAGAAACGCCAGGTTAAGTGGGCACAATCTGTTCTTTTCCCAGTTCACTCCATATTATACAGGTCCTCTTGCACGCCTTGTTTAACCGTTTGTTATCAAGAAACAGTTTTGTTACTTCACTTTGTCTGCCGTGTTTACAGGCTCTATGATTCTATGCATGATACTTGGCATCACACCAACGTAGTCAGCTCGTAGAAGTCCGATGCTGAAATTTCGTCAGTATCTTCGGGTAGGTTGACACTCTCCTCATTACGAATGTTGCCAGCGTTTCTTTGTTATGGTATGTGCTGGGGTTAGAGATCACCCCTTTCAGCTCTGTCAGAACTTTCAGAAAGAACATAGAATATCACAGAAATTTGGCCTTATCCAGAGGAGCATGAGTAACGTCTTCGCAGTACCGCACGCCAAGTTCGTTAAAGTTCAATAACGCCTTGTTAAAAGCCAGAGTGCAGCATCATTTCGAGGCAGGAATCGTTGTGGCGTACTCAACGTCAAAGGCATGTAGAAGACAACGGTGTCAATGCAAGACAACAGAATAATAATGTCGTCTATACGAAGGCAGAGCCACGAAAGTTCATGGAAAGGTGACAAGATTTTACGAGACACCAGAATAGAATGCTTTTTTATTAAGGTGGAAAGCAAGTAAGCCACAGGAGTGGCACATCAGGAAGACTCGACCTCGGTCACTTTGAGGGCGGGGACGATCGCTGACTTGGACTTGACCACGCTGTCCTTGTTGTCACCGATGAACTTGGAGAACGCTTTGGTAGCTCGTCGACGCCGCTGTGCTGCCTGAGTCTCTCGCTCCAACTTCTGTGGGGGATAAAGAGACCGGAAGTATCAGTGGTGTCTGTCTGGGAACTTTAAGGGAGGCCTGCACCCTGGCTTATTTTTTTGTTTGTTTATTTCAGTGTGTGTGTGTGGGGGG